TGCTAAGCCCGTCATGGTAACTGACAAAACCAGCTAGGGACGTTATGAAAGCTGATCGTGATTTTAATTTGGCAATAAATTTACTTGCCTTATGTCAGCTCTCATATAAAGTGTGTGTGTGGGTATTGACGAGGCATATATTTTATTTGAAGAAAAATAATCCCGACAAATGTAGTCTGGTATATTACATTAGACTATTTCTCATAAACTGTCTATCGCAGCAAACTGATATAAATTGAAAAGGGACCTAGCAAGGACGACTCAACCACCAGGATTCAATTAAAACATTTAGTCAGTTGGCTTACATACCTGAAGTACAGATTTGGTTGGCAGCGTCATAATGGCCGGCATCGTAATAGTGGAAAGCGACAGGCACAAATGAAACGACAGGTGTAGAGCGACTTGAGGTAATGATGATAATCGAAACTTTAAAGACGTTACAACAGACTTTCATCACCAAGTCTCCAATTTCACGATCAAACACACCTTTCATTCTAAACTCATTGGCTCTTTCTGTAAACGTGGTTGTCGATTCCGCTACAAATCCCGAATATTCGTCTTCCCCTCTAATAAATTCTTCAACAAAAACCTCTTGTAGGGTAAATGTATCCTCGTCTTCAGAACTGGCCATCAAATTTAGCGACCGGAGGTGATCTTCTAGTCCTTTGGTTTTTTCAAAGTCCATTTTAAGAAGCTGCCTTCTTATGCTTCGGAATGCGCAATCCCCGTCTCTAGATACGCTTTCAATCTCTAGTCCAAATCCAGCTAGGTGCCTTTTAAGATCCTCAGTATGGGTGCTTATATTGGGATCATTACTTTCGGTAGAATCATCTAAATGAAGAAGATTGGAAAATTTCAACAAGTAAAACAGACTGCTAGAGCCAAATGCTCTATTGCAACTTTGTGCATTGCTTATAATTTCTTGGATGCTGAACGCCACATTTATTATAAACCGAGCCACATAATCCTTGCATAGGTCAGTTATTGTTTCAGTCAAGGTGACCTCTGGATTCATATCTGAATGACTTGCTGGCTCGCCAAGAGTTTATCAGTTTGCTCTTCACC